ATAAGGCACATATACTTCCTGGGGGGTTCCGATAACATCCCGGTACTCCGGTATATGCCCGAACTCACCCGGAACCATCTCGATGTCCAAACATAGGCTTCCAATATATCGATCTTTATGTTTCGACCATTACGAGACTCCTCGTCATGTGCGTGATCATATCCGGGACTCTGAACTACCTTCGGTACATCAAAACACATAAACTCATAATACCGATCATCACCGAACGTTAAGCATGCGGACCCTACGGGTTCGAGAACTATGTAGACATGACCGAGACTCATCTCCGGTCAATAACCAATAGCAGAACCTGGATGCTCATATTGGTTCCTACATATTCTACGAAGATCTTTATCGGTCAAACCGCATAACAACATACGTTGTTCCCTTTGTCATCAGTATGTTACTTGCCCGAGATTCGATCGTCGGTATCTCAATACCTAGTTCAATATCGTTATCGGCAAGTCTCTTTACTCGTTCCATAATGCAACATCCCGTAACTAACTCATTAGTCACATTGCTTGCAAGGCTTATTGTGATGTGCATTACCGAGAGGGCCCAGATATACCTCTCCAATACACAGAGTGAAAAATCCTAATCTCGATCTATGCCAACTCAACAAACACCATCGGAGACACCTGTAGAGCATCTTTATAGTCACCCAGTTACATTGTGATGTTTGATAGCACACTAAGTGTTCCTCCGGTATTCAGGAGTTGCATAATCTCATAGTCATAGGAACATGTATAAGTTATGGTGAAAGCAATAGCAGTAAACTAAACGATCAAAGTGCTAAGCTAACGGATGTGTCAGGTCAATCACATCATTATCTAATGATGTGATCCCGTTTATCAAATGACAACTCTTTGTCCATGGCTAGGAAACTTAACCATCTTTGATTAACGATCTAGTTAAGTAGAGGCATACTAGTGACACTCTGTTTGTCTATGTATCCACACATGTACTAAGCTTCCAGTTAATACAATTCTAGTATGAATAATAAACATTTATCACGATATAAGGAAATATAAATGACAACTTTATTATTGCCTCTAGGGCATATTTCCTTCACACCACTCTTTTGAGATAGCTATCAAGGCATTCAATTGGATCCAGTGGGTCATATTTTTGCACATTTTTCATCTCCATCCATAGCTGCAACTAGAGATGGAGAGAACAAACAAAGTGAAGACATGTTCATGGGTTAGAGGACATGTCAGTCATGCCGATGTTGATAGTTCAGACAAGCAAATATGAATACTCACAAGAATATACCGCCTCTCCAAGAAGGAAAAGCATTTGAGGGAGTCAATTACTGCATCAAGATTAGGGCCAACAGATTCGAAAACCAAAACCTTCACCGTACGCATTGTGGTTGTCAACTTGATGGCAGTCACTTTCTGATGAAAATGGCAAACCGAAATAAAAACAAATACTTGCAGACATGTGAATTCTCATTGCTGGATTGTAGGAGGCTGTTGTTACTTGAAAAATTGTGGTTCCAATGTGGAGTTTGGATATGCCCTTTGATAGCACACCCAATACCTGCAGCTTAGGCGCTCAGATTACCCGAACAGTCGTCGGACCATAGTCTGGACTGAGTGGCAGCAACTTCTCAAAGCAAGGGGTGCCCTCAATGACCAGCTCATGGAAAAGGGAAGACCCCTTTGTGTAAGGAGCAGAGAAGTTGATGCTCCTGAGAGTCGGGGGCTGATGCAGAGGCGAGTAATGGCAACATTATCTTCCAGCAAAAGGCTTTCTAATGAAAAGACAACTAGAGGGTTCATTTCAATTTCACAATCTTAAATTAGTACTTTTTATGGGCGGATCAGCTTATTAACGATCATCACAGATGATGGACCATGCATCTTGCTAGAGTTGCTCTCTTAAAGCATGGTTAATAGTACAGCCAGCTGCTGGCTATACGACGTTGCCATTATATTTATAGTCAAACTTATAGCCGGCAAGTACAATAGTTAGATTTAAACAAATACTACTTTATTGATACATGACCCACCTCCCTCTCTCACAAAGTCTCTAGGAGCACGTGTTGCACTCGGCTGTTAGTTTGTAGCCCGCTTCTCTTCTCTTTCCTCTTCTCTCTCCACCAACTAAGCAAAATTATATTATTTAAAGTCTTACATCTCACCCATGTCACCTTATTGTACTTGCTGTTAGACTACCCACCGTGGGGAGTAACATATGTGTGCTGTCATGCAACACTTTATTTATTAGGTTATAAATTCATCTTGTATTGTTTGTGTGATGTTATTCAATTTGTCTCGCTCCTCATTAATTAGCCGCCATATCATTTTTTTGCTTAGGTGACATCTATGTTACTTCTTTTTTTTATCAAAAGGGCTTTCCCCAGCCCCATTTCATTAAAAACGGGGCACACATCCCAAGCCGACAGTTTAGAGTTCCCGGATCTAGCCTAGAGTAGCAGAATCAGAAGCGCTTTTAAAAGGTTATATCTCAACGCAGCGAGCAAAAGGCTCAGGGAAGGCCAACAGGAAACAAAAAGACACAAACTACTGACAACTGATGAAATACGAGAGGCGCATGACTCAGCCAGTGTGTGCCTTCAACATGAAGCCTTCCAGCCCGCCTTCTAGCTTGCCTCGCAGTCCCCTGTCCAGGCTATTCGCAACACTTCGCCTCTTTGACGGTCCAGGAGCAGGAGACAGCGCCGTAGAAGCACAGACTGATCTCCCCCACATAGGATCTTCCACTGATGGAGAAGAGAGCGTGTCCTTCCCAGAATTGCCCTGGTGCTTGTCCACGGCGCGTCCTGGAGACACAGATCGTTACGCATAGTCCAAATGCTCCAAATGGTATCTATCAGAGGGAGAAGAAGCGGCGGGAATTGGAACAGAAATATCATTTGATTTGTCAATCTTTTTTTTTAAAAGAATAAGAAGCAAAGTTTCTCCCTTGAGTTTGAGTGAAAAAACGAAAATGCAAGAAAAATTGCAATACTACCATACACGACCATGAATAAGTCTTATGCCCCTTTGGCCGGGCGATAAAACCTGGGCGAAACGCCAAAACACGTGTGAGGCTGGCAGAAGCAACAAAAGCTACATAGAGCCCATATGCCAGCCCAGGGCCACTTGGGATTCCACGGCCGAGCCTCGTCCTACTACTATCTGCGACAACAAGACTCTGGCACGGTGCTCAGGCGCACCATCAGCTGGCGTTAAACTTCCCTCGATGGCTCTTTCCTGCTTTTGGTAGCGCAGGCACAGAAAAGTGTAACTCCTCTCCATTCTCTCCCCCCCTTTCCACCTCGCCCCCCACTCCCCCCTCCCCCCAGGAATCCTCCCCACTTTTCTGTTCCGTCGCCTCGAC